GCATATTTCAATATATCTGTTTTTAGATCATTTCAATCAGATCGTACAACTTTACGAAATACGAACATTTGTCGTTACATTTTATTGGAGCTTATCAAAGAAATTTCGTTGAGGTTAATCCCGCTGAAGCTCGTTAATTAGTAAAGGAGAGGGACAGGCAAAGATTATAGGGTCCGTCTTTCCCCACACGGGAACAAAACTAGCTTGAATTAAACTCACTGGTGTGTTTAACTAAAAATGATACTTATTAATTAGCTGAAAACAACCAGAATTACTGAACTCATACCCATTTAAATTCATTATTAAAACGTGTTTATCACAATTAGTGATTGGCACAATTTTGTTTGACTATTCTGACTCCTTGATCTTTAGTCTAAATCAAAGCACGCGCAAATAAACACAAATAAAGATAAAACCACCAAAAATAAGGAAAATAAAGTCCTTTGGCATAATAATTGATTTTTTTACTTACTCTTATTAGTATATCTGTAGAAGTCAGATGTAGAAGAGAAATATGGCGGCCAAGACTCGTACATCGGAAACAAGGCCGTTATCAGAAAAAGATCTGAGAGACAAATTTGGATATATGCCTGGTGAAATTACAACTCTCAGATTAAAACTCCAGAATCTACTCAAGTGCAATATTACTTGCTTGAGAAGCAGGCTCAGAAGTTTTGTGCCAATTTTGACATGGCTTCCAAAGTATATATTTATGGAATATGCATTAGGAGATTTTATTTCTGGAATAACAACAGCTATAGTGAGGATTCCTCAAGGTCTAGCATATGGATTACTAGCAGGATTACTTCCTATAAACGGATTATACACTGAATTCTTCTCTCCTCTCGTTTACTCTGTATTCGGTAGTTCAAGACATATATCTGCTGGAGTAACGACTATTATAAGCCTTATGCTTGGGAATACTTTGGCCAGAATAGAAATTAATCCAAATATATTTTTAGCTGTGAATATCTCAACAGTTGATTTCTCACAAAATGGAACCGAACGACCTAATAATAATATTATTGCAAACTCCAGTTATTCACTAGAAGGATCCTCGATTGAATACACGGAAGCTCAAAGGCTTACGGTTATCAGCTCTTAACTGTTTTGGTTGGACTTATATTACTCTTGCTTGGTTTCTGCAGACTGGGCTTTGTTGCGATGTTCCTATCAGAACCAGTTGTATCAGGATTTACAACAGCTGTTGCTATCCATGTTGTCACTTCACAACTTAAACATTTGACAGGAATACCACTGCAGATCAAAAGTGGATATTTTGAAATAATTTTAATTTACATCGAACTATTTTCTCGTCTATCAGAAATTAAATGGCCAACTATAATTACCAGTGTTATATGCCTAATCATCCTTGTACCGATAAAGTTCGTAAACCGCCAATACAAGAAGAAACTGAAAAATATACCGATTCCTGTTGAACTACTGATTGTGATACTTGGAACAGGAATTTCATATAGTGCTAATCTCAACAAAACATACAGTATCAAAATTGTTGGTTCTGTTCCTAGTGGGATGCCATCTCCCATATTGCCAAATACTTCGTTATGGCCTGTTTTGATAGGGGACGCAATTTCAATTGCATTAGTCTCATTTGCTCTCGCAGTTTCAATAGGTAAAATTTTTGCTTTAAAGCATGGGTACAGTACTGATCCAAATCAAGAGTTTATTGCACTTGGGTTGTGCCAAATAGTGTCGGGATTCTTTCGTGGGCATTGCGGTGGTTGTGCGTTATCGAGAAGTGCGGTACAGGAAAGTGCAGGAGGTAACACACAGATTGCTTCACTTGTATCTTGTTCTATTATGCTTCTAGTTATACTAGTTATTGGACCAGCTTTTGAAAATTTGCCCGTTGCGTGTTTAGCTTGCATGATTTTGGCAAACATGCATAATCTTTTAAAACAAGTCGAGACATTACCTCGACTTTGGAGAGTCGATAAGTATGATTTTTCAACGTGGCTGCTCACATTCTTATTTGTTACACTTCTGAAGGTTGACACCGGACTTCTCCTGGGCGTGATATTTTCTCTTTGTTGTGGTGGAATAAGACAACGCCGTGTCACGAACAAAATCTTAGGCAAACTAAATGGAATTGATGTATACAGAGATGTAAATTTATATCAGGGTGCACATGAAATACCAGGAATAAAAATTATAGAATTTTCGCAGTCTCCAACGTATGCCAACAAGTCATCATTAGAAAAAATAATTTCACTTTTTCATTATGATCGAATGGCGAAGTTAACGATTAGTAAGTCCAGTGACATAGAAAATATCGAAGTAGGAAACCACTCAGCTAATACGACGACGAAAAAAACATACTACATCATATTTGATTGTTCTTGTTGGAGCATGATTGATACCGTTGGAATGTCTTCTTTACATCAAGTTATAACAGAGTTGACAGTGGCTGAAAATACAGTGTTTCTTGCGTCTATTCAAGGAGATGTTTACGATAAGCTATCCTTATATGGCATAGTAGATGGCGAAAAATCAGCAGTGAAAGTATATCCAACAGTATCTCTGGCTGTAGCGACCGCAAAAGATTTATTGGAGTCAGAGTGCCAAATGTGTGATGCAGGATATAGTCATGCCTAAATTTTGTTAACAAAAAACTACATCTAAACTTTGACGTTCTTTGGTTTAAACGCTATTTCAATATTTTATTGATTTAAATCCACACTGTGCTTCATTGTATATCTGAGCTTCAAATTATTTCATCTTATGAAGGAATGCATATAATTTTTAATACCTTGGGATATATTTTGATAACATATCTTAATTACAATTATGAAAAAAAGATATATTGTTATGTATCAAGTAATAATTTTCTGACAATGTTTTAATCAAAATCGTTTATTGAATTGTTAAGTTCCTAAATGCCTACGACTACTTGCCATATCAATAAAATATTTTGCGGTTTTTACGTTGATTTCTTCCTACTACTTGTTGAAAGCGTGAAATACCACGAAGACTTACTCAATATTAGTAAACTCATTTTTCATGTCTTGGCAAAATGTTCAAATATCTTATATATAAATTAGTTTTCACGTGGACTTGGGATCGTGCAAAGTTTGGAAACACCTCTATAATCACGTTTTAGTCCCGATCACTGATTTTGGCGTACCATGCTTTCAACGGTGTTTCAATTTCATATCTCGTAAAGCCGGTATAAAATCGCCGAAAACAGCAATTTTGTGGGTCCATCTGTCAATCATTTAAGTGAAGATTGAATACCAATACCAAGAGAAATGAATATCAAATCCTATTATATGGGAATATAGACGGAATAAAAATTTCATCTGACTCCAAACAAATTTTAATGTTCTCCTCAAACCACACCATTTTTGAAAGTTAAAGATAAAAATGGCAGTCTTAAAGAGCATGACTGGAGATTAGGAATCTGTCTTGGAACTTTATAACTATTTGCTAGGTAAATTTTTAGTGCTGTCTGTGCATCAGATGTCGCGTGCGACTTTGTTTTTAGAGAGTAAATGAGTGTATTTGAGTGTATTCTTGGTATATATATAATGCTCTAACAAAAATCTAAATCTAAAATGTTTTATTGAAGCATTCCAACTTATGCGAGCATTTGACAACAATATATCTGGAAAATAGTTTAATTAATACACTACATTGCTGCTGTGTCATTCAAAGTATGAGAATAAGTCATAGACATATATATTTGCCACATAAAAGTATCCTACAGATGAACGAACTCCATTTCACAACCAAGCAATTTTATTTGTATAAATAAAACAAAACAGCTGTATAGTCGATAGACCAACTATTTTTGGGAGACACTCTGGATTTGTAATAATGGATTGTTAATAATGGAAACGTTGGTCTAAGCCAGGGGTGGGCAAGGTTTTCAGACCGGGGGCCAAAAATTTTGCTCATCTAGACTGACGGGCCATGTAGGTATGAAGTAAAAGTTACATTTTATAGACAATATTTACACTAGTACAAAAGCAAAAGTGGAAAACGATAAGCCTTGTGCCAAAACCCAATTTGATCGCAATCCCAACAAATTCCTTTAGCTATTTTTTGCTGGTCTAAGTGAAGTGAGAAAATAACCAAGGAATCGATTTCCACTAGAATCTACCATGCGGACAAAAAGGATCTGTAAGTCGTTTTAATATCATGTTCTTGTTCTAATTCTTTGCCGTGTTATTGTTGTTATAATTTACAATATTTGGTACAGGAACTATATTACACTGTATACAACCCTAATATAGTGACACACCATCCAGATGGGAAACAAAACTATGTGTAACAGTCGTTCTTTGTGACCTGGACGACACCAACAGCACACTAGAAATTATTAACAATTCAATAACGCGGTCTTTCTAGTCCCAAGTTTGTATCCTCAAATCCTGAAAATCACAACTTGAAGTATACAGTTGACACGGGTATCTTGATACAAACATAAAACAAATCAGCACAAATGACTTGCAATAAATAAGTAATCCTAATTAAAGCCTACTCGAATTTAGGAACATGATTATCAAACCTAAGTGATTCAAGAGTCTTGCTGCACACTAACACAAATATATTTCTGTAACGTTTCGTCTGACCAAGGTCAGACTTCTTTAGACATACATAGTTCAACTACAACAGTTACATGCATATTTAAACAATAAGTGTAGAATTATAGGAGTCACGCATGTTAAATAATCAATAAAATCGGTGAATTTCTTGATTGAATAACAGCGGGTGGCCGAAATAAGTGTCATTGATGAAAAATCTCTCTTTGTATTATATTTAGCAATTGAAGTCCAAATTAAACAATGGTGTTTTGTTTCTCAGTATTGTATAATGCAGACCAGAAAAGTTGTCTGTGTGTCAAATGTGATATTTTGTCTGTTATTAGCATATCTGGCCATGCATGATCCAATTCTTAGAAAAAAAAATATGTTAGGTACATGCATTGATTAAAACAATGAATTTTTTTTTTTTTTTTTTTTTTTTCTGTAATTGGTCTAAACTTCCTTAATATTCATCCCTTGTGGCTCGTGTGTCCCGAAAAGATGAATGTAATGGGATTCCTTGTTCTTTCGATAAATGTGGTCATGAAATAGTTTTTCAATGCCAATGACACTAAAATATTTAAGCGAATGTCCCGGTTGACTGAAATGGGTGCCAACAACCAGATCTTTGTTTTGGGTTTTTATACTTCTAATATGTTCCGTTATTCGGTATTTTAAATGTCTTCCCGTTTCTCCTATGTATTGCATGCCACACTTTTTGCAGCTTATCAGGTAGATTACATTTTCCGAGTTGCATGTAACTTTTTGACGAATCCTTATTTCTGCTGTCTTCTGTTTGTTTGTTGCAATTTTCCTTTCTTCGGAATATTGGCAGGTACTACATGATTTTCTGCCACATTTGAAAAAGCCTGGATTCTTTTTAACGGGAGTTTCTGGTTTCAATTTTGCTCTGACTAATTTGTCCCTTAGTGTGGGGCATTTACGATAGGCTAATCTTGGTGGTTTTGGGAAAATTACTTTTAGTCTATCGTTGTTATCTAAAATGTATTGGTAATCTGAAAATATTTTTCGAATGTTTGGTTGGGTCGGGTGATAGCTTGTGATGAAGGGAAGCAAAGTTTCTTTTTTGGTTTCAGTTTTTGGGATTAAAAGGAGTTTTCTGTCGAGTTCTTTTGCAGATTGTATTGCATCGTCAACTAAATTTTCTTTGTAGTTTCTCTTTGTGAGGTATGTTTTCAATATTTTTGCATGTTTATCAAAAAACTCATTTGTTGAACAGGTTCTTCTTATTCTGATGAATAGACTTTTTGGAATATTTTTAGTGACATGTTTAGGGTGGCAGGACGATGGCGAAAGATACTGGTGCGAGTCGGTTTCTTTGCTGAAGATTTCCGTTTCCAATTTGTTGTTAATGATATGAACCTTAACATCCAAAAACGTAATCCAGTTTGTTGAGCATTCGAAGGTAAATTTGATAGTTGGATGTAAAGAATTTGCTAAGATAACAAATTCTGATAGTTTCTCTTTGCCATGTGTCCATATAAGAAAACAATCATCAATAAAGCGGCAATAGTACTATGGTTTTAAAGGGGTTTTGTCTAATAAATTGGATTCCAGGTTTGCCATAAAAATGTTCGCATACTTGGGTGCCAATTTCGTTCCTATCGCAGTTCCCTGAATTTGAAGGTAATGTTGTTCGTCAAAAACGAAGTTGTTGTTTGTCAGGACTAAGTTGGCTGCTTTTGCTATCTAGGGGATTTCTTGTTTGTCTTTGCTGAATCTGTTGATGTATTTTTCCATTGCTTCTATGCCATCGTTGTGGGGGATGTTTGTGTAGAGGGAGACTACGTCCATACTCACTAGTAAAGATTCCTGTCCAATTGTTTTGATTTTTTGTAAATGATTTAAGAAATCCATGCTGTCTCGAATATATGAGGGTATAACTCTTTTACACATGAGCGGAGTCAGTTTATAATCTACATAGGCCGAAAGTTTTTCTGTCGCTGTGCCATTCGTTGATATTATGGGACGACTAGGGTGATTTTCTTTGTGTATCTTGGGCTGGAGGCGTAGGCGACCTGGTTTGGGGTCTTTTGGAAGGATTGATTCAGCTAATTTATCGTCTATTACTCCAGCTTCCTTCATTTTTGAGCAAAGATTAACAACATCATTTCCAATTTGTCTTGACTTATCTTTTGGCAGAAGTCGGTACACCGATTTGTCATTTAATTGTCGCATCCCTTCAGCGACATAGTCAGTTCGGGATAGAATGCAAATACCTCCTCCTTTATCGGCCGGAACTATAATGATATCTCGTGCTGCTCGTCCTTCGAGTTCTTTTAGTGCCATAATTTCATCTTTATTTAAATTAGGGTAAGCATGTTTTCAAAAGTAGTTAATTAGCAAGTCGACCCAATTACTATTAAATAACTTGCAGCCTGCAGATCAGAAAGAGTTACAAATTATAACATGTCGAATTTGTCTGCTATTCCAGGATTTAAATATTACAAGTTGAACATGAATCATATGTCAATGAAATTCAATCAAATAATTAAACTATAAGTATGAAAGCAATCACAAAGGCAATCTAATGCTCATATAAATATCCGTAAACTAGACCTGTGTTTGTGGAGCCATGTGGAGCAATCCTAATCCACATTATTCAATCGTGCCTAGAGCGCAACAATCCTAATGTCAAAACAGAAAGTCAAGACCGCTAAACCAAATTCAACTTATTTACAAAGAAACGAGAGCCACTCTCTACAAAAGTATATCCCTGACTAAGCAAGACAGTCAGTGGCGTATCTAGGGTATGGCAGCCATGGCTCGTGCCATGGGCGCCGTTTGGACGGGGGCGCAAAAAACGCGAAAAGTTCTAATTGAATAATTTTCAATAAAACTTGAAAATGAATGAAACTCGTATTTCTAATTAAATCATAAAAAATTCAACAAAAGTCAATGCAGTTAGCAGTTTCCAACGATCAATGCAGTTTGTTTCGTCACTTAGCGCAATTGACGGTGATGTCATAATTCAACATTAATAAGCCGAAATTGATACGGTACTGGACTTACTGCTATACTGCACCTCATATTAGCTCTGATATCGTACTGGAGTGAACATTTATGAATATTCGTACAATGAGAGAGAATGTTTTACAGCGTGGAAAGAAATTTGAGCAATAAAACGGAATTATTGACGCAGATTTCCATGTACAAATTAAAAAGGAAAGGCAAAAATGTAGTGGGATTCTTAAATGAATATCGCATAGAATAAAGTGTCTGGCGGAACAAAATCTCGCTTTGCGAGGGCACAGGGAGTCACTTCAAGCAGATAGTAATTCAAATGTTGGTCATTTTCTTGGCTTAATAAAAATCCTTGCCGTCCTTGATCGTGGAGGGGGGGCAAGGTCTTTGGTTCACGGGCCAAACATTTTGCCCGCCTATAGTGACGGGGCATGTAACTGTGACGTAAAAAGTTACATAATATGGACAATATTTCCAGTATTACAAAGCAAAAGCGGAAAACAATAAGCTTCCTGCCAAAACTAAATTTAATCGCAATCTATTCCTCGAGCTATTTTTCAGCTAAAACATCAAAATTTGATTTTCGTTTGGTTGTGGAAGCATCAGGCGGGCCAGTTTGAAATAGCCAACGGGCCGGATTTGGCCAGCGGGCCGTAGTTTGCCCATGTAAGATATAGACTATGACTAGGCTTACCATACGTCCCGCTTTAGGCGGGACAGTCCCGCTTTTTAACGTCTTGTCCCGCCGTCCCGACAAGTCAGCCAAAAGTCTCGCTTTTGCGTTCAGCCATCCAGCATAATACACGAACATGTTCTCGTTACTGTCTTTGCTGTGTAGCGCAATGCTAGCGTACTTACTGAAGGTGAATGCGTTATTTTGTTTGTTTCGTTGTTTCCCGCTAACATTGTTAGCGAACGTATCACATGTAAAATCAATTCTACTTGGTCCTGTTAGGACGTTCGCGTGAATGTAACATTGAACAACGTTTTTTTTAAACGTGTTATCTACAAGCATGCTTGGGCGAATGAGCAAATTCTCAATGCTTTAAAACGGCAGACTATTTCAATATTCTTTATTCCTCTTGATGTACATAAAAAATCTAAATTCGGATCATTTGTATCGTTAGCGTCTATTTCTTTCTATTTTTCGAACTGAACTCGATATTTAGACAGAGAATATGCGCATGAACTCTCGATGGCAATATGGTCAATGAAGACAGCCGGGATGGCTTAAATGTAGACCTATGTAGTAAAGTCGGAAACAGGAGGCGTCCCGCTTTGAAGTCAAAAAAATATGGTAACCCTAACTATGACAAGAAAACAGTGTGTGTCAAAGAGTCTTTTCTGGATTTCCCCAATCTCCGGATAGATTTGCAAATTTTGCTGACATTGGCAGTATCCATAGAAAATTACGATCGGTCGTTTAGTGAACTAAAATTAATTCTGTCATACCTTCGATCTTCAATTAGTCAGGAAAGCTTTGTGATCTGGCTATATATTAAGTATAAAGAGGGGTGAAACAAAAAAACAAATAAATTTGATAAAATCATTGGCAAATTTGCGTCACGAAATATACTATTCTAAGATCTTGTTATTGCACGATCGTCTACTGCTTATTGTTTATTGTGTAGTTATTAAATTGCTTGTTATGTTGCGTAGTTGAGAGCAACCAATTTCATGTAAACAAAAAAAGGAAACAAGCGAAGTAGGAGGCGCATTTTTAAACCTTTGCCATGTGCGCCATTTTACCTAGATACGCCACTGAAGACAGTATAACCTAAAACATGCTGGGTCACAGATTTACTCACGAAAGGTATGAACAAAATTGGAATTGCTTATTCGATTGGAAATAACTTTGATTAGTATGTCGTCAAAGTAGTTCGGGTATGAATTGTTACGAAAATTATAAACTAATGATAATACTTCAAATTTTATTATATTTTTGAGTGTATTAAGCATTCAAAATAATGGTTCACAAATTCATATTTACTTTTCTTGAAAACAATTCTTGAAAAATTATTACAAATACTTTTTGAGACAAGTTTTTTATTCCCGCTGAGCAACAGTAATGTATGTGTTTAAGTAATAATGACAAAACATTGCTAGTAAAGCCGATTTATTGATACAAGTTTCTGCCAAGTTTCTTTCTGTTTTGCCACTAACATGTGCAATTTGGTATTTACATGAAATTTCTATCACAGAACATTTCTAAGAATTTTATTTCACTCACTCTTCCAATTTCATTACCAATGTTAGCTTGAATGGAATGGTGATAAAACTTACTCAAAAGAATGAAATGGTCATAATAATGAATAATTATAATCATAATTATGAATAAAATTATTAGCCTGAAAGTTTCAGACCAATTGGTCCAGTAGTTAAAGTAAAAGGCTATATAAATTCACAACAACGACAAAAAGAAATAAAAGAGGAAAAACAATAACATAATAACAAAACGATCCATGAATCCACTCTTTGTCCAATAAGCATATTTTATTTTCTCGATGGTCAATTGCAAATCCACTAAAATGACCACATAAGCTTTAATTCCAGTCGAGCGTGGCCACGATCCACGTTTATGTGGCGCACGCGAGTCGCCAATGCTGTAGACATGTTCGTGTTTTTAGAAGTCATTAAATTTGAGCTGTTGAGATCGACGATTGTTTATATTAGAAGGATGTGGCGGAATACGCATTCCTGATGGCTCGTGTTAAGCCGCACGAAGTGAGTTGCTTGAGGCCACGGTTATTCAAAATGCTTTACTGTTAGAGTGTACATGTGTTCCCGTATCGTTTGACAAGTGGGTTAAATGAATACCAGAATACAGGAATATAAAAGGCTTTTGGAGCTGTTATTTCGGTATTTGGCTGCCTGGCGAATTCATTGATTGATTTATTGTCGGAAATGCACGCAGCGTGTCCCGGATTATGAATGGACGAAAGATTATATAAGTACGCTATTAGTATTGGGAATAGTGAATGAAAGCTCGGAAAAACCTAACTGGTTGCCAATATTAACTGATTGAGAATGGAGTCAGTTGATAGATCCGATGAATCGTCTGTAACAGAAAATGATTTGAGGGTAAGATATGGATATAAGCCTAAAAAGAGAAAGACTCTGAAGAAAAACATAAAAAATGCAGTACAGTGTAATGTTCCATGTATGAAAAATAAACTTTTTAATTTAATTCCTATTTTAACATGGCTTCCAAAGTACCCTTTTATGGAATATGCATTAGGCGATCTTATTTCTGGAATTACAACTGCTATAGTTCGAATCCCACAAGGACTTGCATATGGATTGTTGGCAGGATTACTTCCCATTAATGGACTGTATACAGGATTTTTCTCGCCACTGGTTTACACAATCTTTGGCACATCAAGGCATATTTCAGTTGGTGTATTTTCAGTCATAAGTCTTATGCTTGGTAATGCTTTAGATAATCTGGAAATTGATGCCAGTGTCTATTTTGATGACAATTCTCTATCAAGTCGAGCTACATCAAATAACACGATATTATCTCATTCGAATATATCAGATGCAAATTCAACTTCGCCTAATGTGGAGAATATCGGTCGATACACAAATGCTCAGAACCTCACAATAATTTTGTCATTGACTGTTTTGATTGGGCTTATTTTGCTTATACTTGGTATCTGCAGACTTGGTATTGTCGCAATGTTTTTATCAGATCCTGTTGTATCTGGATTCACAACAGCTGCTGCTATTTATGTAGTCACAGCTCAAATGAAATATATAACTGGAATACCACTTCAAAGAAAAAGTGGGATTTTTGGATTGATTTCAACCTACATTGATCTATTTTCTCGAATTTCTGAAATTCAATGGTCAGCTATTATAACTAGCGCAATTTGTCTTCTTATTCTTGTGCCAATCAAATATGTAAATCGAAATTACAGTGAAAAACTGAAAAACATTCCGATTCCTGGTGAATTGATGATAGTAATACTTGGAACAGGAATTTCGTATGGTGCGAAGTTAAGTGAAACATACAGTATCAAAATTATTGGTTCTGTGCCCAAGGGAATGCCATCTCCTATGTTGCCAAATATTTCACTTTGGCCTGTTTTAATAGGTGATGCAATTTCGATTGCAATAGTTACTTTTGCTGTTGCGGTATCGATGGGAAAACTCTTCGCAAAAAAGCATGGCTACAATATTGATCCAAATCAGGAATTGATTGCCCTTGGATTATGTCAAATAACGTCAGGATCCTTTCAAGGACATTCAGGAGGTGGTGCATTGGCCAGAAGTGTCGTACAAGAAAGCAGTGGAGGGAACACACAGGTTGCTGCACTTGTGTCATGTTCAGTAATGCTTCTGGTATTACTAGTGATTGGACCGGTTTTCAAAAGTTTGCCCGTTGCGTGTTTGGCTTGTATTATCTTGGCCAATTTGCACAGTCTTCTTCTGCAATTTAACAAGCTACCCAGACTATGGAAAGTTGATAAGTATGACTTTTCAGTATGGCTTATGACATTCATATTTGTTATAATTCTGGGTGTAGACCTGGGGCTTTATGCTGGGGTAATATTTTCACTTTGTTGTGGTGGACTGAGACAAAGTGGTGCAAAAGTTAAATTTTTGGGTGGATTAGAAGGTACTGATATATATCGAGATATTGAATACTACCAGAATGTGCATGAAGTACCAGGTATAAAGATAATAGAATTTACACAATCTCCAACATATGCTAACAAGTCATCATTGCAGAAAATTACACCAACATATTTTGAACATGAAGTAAACATTTCACCGACAGATAAAAGTCTATTGTCAAAATCTAATGATGATATTGAGAATTGCGATATTCAACAACAGATTCTCACTAAAAATGTAACAACTAAGATAAAGTATATAATATTTGATTGCTCGCACTGGAATATGATTGATACTGTTGGAATGTCTACCCTACTTCAAGTCATCACAGATTTGAAATTGGCTGAGAAGGAGGTATTTTTAACATCTGTGTGCGAAGATGTGCACATGAAACTCTCATTGTATGGCATAGTAGATGACGAGAAATCTGCAGTAAAAGTATTTCCAACAGTGTCATTGGCTGTAGCTGCAGCTAAACTTATGTTGGAAATGGAATCAAATGCAGAACCAGAATCAAGATATAGTTTTATTTAATATTTACGAGCAATAAAAAATCCTGTTATGGGAATGATCCGCCATCAATATTCAGTTTGCTTCATTGAAAATGTTTAATCTACCAGTGAATTTCAGTTGGTTTACCACATAATTTTTTCTATTGAAAGTTATATGAAAATTTATATTAGTTTGCTGTGATATCTGTTTTAACTTTTTATTTATTTTATGAACTGATGAAATGTAGATATTTCAAATTTAAGCAAAACAGTGCTTCCTATTTTATAGAACTTAAATTTTAGGCTTTGTCCATACATGTTTAGCCACTAATATGTACACAAATAGTATCATTTTATTGCATTTGATTTATCGCTTTGATATATGTTGTTAATATTTTAGTTTTGTCAGTTTCAGAGCAATGGTATTGAATTTTACCCAGTTTTTTATATCAAAATAATTGATTATTTATTTCATGGTGCATTACTGAATTTTAATACTTGGAAATCTAGTCATAATTTTTTTGCAATTAACAATTTTAATGAGAAAGTGTTTATTGTGCCAAACTATTAATTTTTATAATTACAGTTATACAAACTGTGACTCATCTTTTTTCAGTGTGTATATTATTTACGCTCTATTACGCTGAAATCTTTTCACTTTAGTATTTTATTAGTGTATAAGTGACATAAAACCCAATTTAAAATTTTACTCTAGCTTTCTTTGCTTTTTTATTCACTTTTGTTGTTTGTCAATACCTGTTCCAATGTTATTTATTTAATTTAACAATATGGTACACTAGAGAATTTTATACTAATAATAACAGATGTCAGAAATGGTGTTAAAAAATTATTTTCAAAAAACTCTCAATTAAATATATTATTATTCTTCCATACTAAAATCAGTTCTTTTTTAAACTTGTCCCTAAAATGGATTTATTTATACAAATTTATTACATATTCGAAAAATTCAACATATATTGACACCCAGCATAATACTTACGTTTTATTACTGACATTCTACTGGCAACATATTAATTTTTACTTTATTCAATTTTCATTAAGCTCTCTGTAAGATGCAGTCCAAAACTGGAAATTATAAGAAGGTGTGGTTTTAGAATGTGCTATTGGTGAATTGTGAAAAGACGTAGTGTGGCATACCCTCATAGCTCTTTATTCATTTTAATGGCATTAGCGACATAGGTATATTAATGAGTCGTCGTTTTATATAAGATATCATCAAGATGATTTTTCAAAACGTTACAATTAAACAATTATTTCTTTGAATTCATCCTGCTTTCTAACTCGTATGCAGAATATTAAATTTCTATGCAATTGCCATGATACTGACTTTTCGACTTGAGCCAAAAATAATACAGACACATGTGTTAATTTTCATTGAGAGATTGGACAGAATGCGGTTTATTATTATTCATCAATGTTAATGAGCTGTATATTCAAAAGTTCATATTATTTATCATTCTTATTTACAATGTTATGCCTATTGTGCAATGACTTTCCAATTAAAAATCCTTACACAAATATTTTTATAACATGTAATGAATAATGATGGTTTATGCCATTTTCAGAAATGGGTTAGACATATTTCATGCAATATTATATTCATATTAATATGATATGCTCCATGCTTATGTGTTTGTGATGTCCATATATTATGCACTTTTCTGCAAACTTCCAGTTCATGTCATTACACCTTCATTATACTGATTTCTCTTTCTATGTCAGTACCATGGCTGGGAAGTTGGTATTTAATTACAGTGGCTACTGCTCCAGAGCCACAGTTTTCCAACTTTGGAGCTCCATAGCCAATAATCTTTTTGCCACCATGAAACATAAGCTCAACTTGAATTTGGGGGAAGTGGGACTCAAAACTATGATATTAGGCGTCAAATTTTAAATTGAGTATTTAATTATACACATTTAACTTGAAACTTTCAAATTTATGTTTAAAACTGAATATTGAAAAAATCTCCACAGCTACTCTTCCCAGCCCTGAAGAATCATGTTTCATTACCATAACTATACTTGAAAGTACGTCTCGCCCAATACAAAATAACCTGATAGGTCTTCTTCAATACTTTGAAAGATATTTCAAAAGTAATTGGTAAATGAGTCTACATAATATTGAGTACTTTTTTATGCTGGATGATGCATAATTTGCTGGACCATACCAAAATTATAATTTGATTATTATTGAACTGTAGTTCATTAGGATGTTATATCACACTTGAGGTGGTATATATGTAGCACCTTTAATCTGACAATGACTTTCACGACAGCCAGAGCGCGAACGAAATTGTTTATTGGCCGTGTGCTAACACCACGATTGACCAAGTTTCGACAACTCCAAACGAGCCATTTTTGTGTTATTTAGTGCTGCTCTGGGCTGTTTTTGATTTAAAACTGTCACGTCATCCCCACCAATAGAATTACGTGCGATATTTCACACTACGCTTCGAATAGCTTCTTTGTTTGTAGGTCAGAATTGTAAATACACATTAACTTTACTTCGATCACGTTACGAAGAGATTATAAAACGCAATTTTAGTTTGTCAAGGTCAAAGATCTTTTGTTGGTGTTAATATTATTTTAGTTTACCACTAGTGAACAAAATTTCGCCCACGACTATAGGGTCTTTTTCTTTTTGGAATTTCACGTTTTACATTCATAACGTAGTGGTACTGGTGGTGGCCTAGTCTTGTCTATGGTGCTATGCTTTTTGGTGATTTTGAAATAGCAAAATTAATGGTGGCTTGACATATTACAGAAATTAATAAAAGGGATTTAGGCTACATTTCTTGACTCAAGCGAGTCCAACTGTTCTGGAACCGGGCATATTGAGTTATATTCTTATCAGTTACGGATGTTCGATACTTTGCTTGGATAGAATGGGTCTTTCGGCGAAATGCTATAAAATTATTCGGTTTAAAAATATGAAATAATCTCATAGGTGATATCTCATTAAATTTCTACATCCATCACGTTTTTGATCACATGCCCCGCATCATTCAATAATTAATTTCGCCTCCAGTACGTGACAAAAACTAATAAACCTCGCAGCCAAGAATCAAAGAGGATTATATTATGTATTGATTCACGTTATGTGGTGATGCGGATGATTATTATCAATTGACCAGTCACGATGCAATGACAAGAAATGTGAGGCGCTTGTCCAGATTAATACTCGATGAGAGATATTTACCTAAAAGACGGATTATTGCTTTGATGAATAAAACGTCATGATAAAACGTTCTCGATCATGCTAAGCACTATGCCTTTATACTGCCCGCTAGTCACCATCTGGTTCGCAAGTTCGGAAATGCCTTTACGATCATTTGCGAGGGCGTTGCTGGATCCATCGCATGGCAGTTCCGATAGTTTATTGACGATTCGGCTCCCTTCACTTCCTGGTTCCACGCGATTGTGGGATGAATATCCCCACAGACGACTCAACTGGGTACGACGCCGTAGTTCGTCATACAATTGAGCTGTAATGCGTGTGCTTCTCTCATCCCTCATGAATCAATTTATTGGGTAAACACCTAACGCGGTATTGGGCTCTAAAATCTCGGAAAAAAATATTCCTGGGATACCACAGCCACATGTGTTAATTTACATCCACATGTGTCAATTTTCATTTAGTATTATTAGTTTAATATTATTCGTCAATGTTAATGAGCTGTATATTTAAATGTTTATATTATTTGCCATTTTTATTTACAATGTTATGCATAATGTGCAATGACTTTCTAATTAAAAATCCCTACACAAATATTTTTATAACATGTAATGATGGTTTATGCCATTTTCAGAAATGGGTTAGTCTGTTAGACCTATTTCATGCAATATCTCATTCATAATAATATGATATGCTACATGCAGATGTGGGACCTCCTGAAGTATGCGCACCAAGATGGCGCACAACCTGATGAACTCAGGTTAGGTTTCAGGTTGTGCGACATTTTGGGGCGCAAACTCCAGGAGTACCCAGATGTGTCTGTAATGTCCATATATATATCATACACTTTTCTGCAAACTTGCAGTTTATGTCATTACACTTTCATTATACTGATTTAACTTTATATGTCTGTATCATGGCTGGGAAGTTGGTATGTAATTACAATGGCTCCTTCAACAGAGCCACTGGTTTTTGACGACCACTGTCACCACCATGAAACATAAACCCAAATTGAATTTTGGGGCAATAGGACTCAAAACTATGATATTAGGTTTCTAATTTAAAATTGAGTTTCCAATTATACAAATTTAAATTGAAACTTTCGAATTTATATTAAAAACTAAATAGTAAAAAATCCTTACAGCTACTTATTCCCGGCCACGAAGAATCCTGTTTCATTACGATAACAATATTTGAAAGTACGTCTTTTGCCCAATACCACATCGTCACGCTAATAACCAAATTGCGTTAAGTCATTTTTAGCAGTTTTGAGAAAATGTAAAAAACTTCCTAATGATGTTGTTATGCCATTGAGAGTCAATAATTTCCCATGGTTACCAAAATTTGAATATTATTAAACTGTAGTTGCATTTGGGTGTTATATCACAATTAGTGTGTTATATATGTAGCACCCTGAATGACAATGACTTCCAGTTAACCCAATTAACACCTAAAAAACCGAACAAAATTGTTTATTGAGCGTGTGCTAACAGCCCGATTGATTTAGTTTAGAAAAACTTCAAAACTAACCATTTTTGTATTATTAAGCGCTGCTCGAGGCCGTTTTTTGATCTGAAACTGCACGTCATCCAAACTAATAGAATTACGTGCGATATTCCACGCTACGATTTAAATAGCGTCTTTGTTTGTAGGTCGTCGGAATCGTAAAAACACATGTTGAAGAAATTATCACAATTTTATTTTGTCACCGTTGAGGTCAAATATCTTTTGTTGGTGTTCATATACTTTTAGTTCATCACTGGTAACAAAATTTTGCCCATGACTATATATATCGTCTCCTTGGTACTCCACGTTTTATATTTAACGTAGTGATACTGGTGGTGGCGTAGCCTTGTCTATAGGGCTATGCTTTTTGGTGACTTTGAAATAGAAAAATGAATGATGGCTTGACATATTACAGAAATTAATGAAAGAGATTTATGCTACATGTTTTAACTCAAAGCGAGTCGCGACTGTTCTGGAATCAAACATATATATTGAGTTATATTCTTATCAGTTACGGACATTCGATAATTTGTTTGGATAGAATGGGTACTTACGGCGAAATGCTATGAAATTAGCGGCGTATTCGATTTAAAAATATAAAATAATCTCATTAGTGTCTATCTAATTAAAATGATAGATTTATTACTTCCGATGAAATTTCTACATCCATCATGTTCTTAATTGCATGTCCCGCATCATTCAATAATTAATTTTGCCTACAGTACGTGACAAAAACTAATAAACCTCGCAGCCAAGAATTAGGGGGATTATGTAGTGTCTCGATCCACGTTATGTCGTGATGCGGATGACTCTTATGTATTGACCAGCTACGATGCAATGACAAGAAATATGAGGCGTGTGTCCAGATCAATACTTGACGGAAAGACGCTTTATTGCTTCGATAAATAAAATGTCACGATAAATCGTTCACGATCATGCCAAGCACTATAACTTCATACTGCCCTCTAGTCATCTTCTGGTTGGCAAGTTTGTATCATGCAATGAAATAATTTAAGAAGGCGTTGCATCTCATGATGGCGTTTCCGGTACATTCCCGAAGATTCGGCTCCCTTCGCCGCATAATTCCACTCGACTGTAGCATAAATATCCCCATTCCCCACAGACCACCGTACTTGTTTACTGGGTGCGATGCCGTGATTCGTCATACAATTGAGCTGTAGTGCTTGTGCTGTTTTTATTCCTCGTAAAACAATTTATTGGTTATTACTTAACGCGGGATCGGGATTTTTAATCTCGGAAAAGATATACCTACTGTATAATTGTTCGGTGGTGCGTGATACAGTGAAACTAGAAAGCCAAAAAAATTCACTATTACAACAGCTTTAATCATAAAAATTGTGCCAATTCGATTTAACGCTCCTAAATCAAAAAATATGGCGTCTTTTCATGCAATTATTAATTTTCTCGTTGGTATATCATAATTCTCTCAAAATATTTTGCATTTTAGAATAGAACGGTGTATATTCGGCGTTGCTACCATTGACAGAAATTCCACGTGACCACGATTGGTCGGTGGTGAATAATGAGTAATGCAAGACTATTGGTTGGCGGTTCCTCCCCGATACCAGCTGTAAAAAATCTAAGAATGGAGCAACTCAGGCCATAAACGTAGGGCATATATACAGGTCACTGGAAAATTATGTAAGGCCGATTTTACGCTGGCGTCGTCGTGATAAATTTGTGCCTCAACTATTCTGTGCGCTTGCAGCTCTCTTACACCAGCTATTTTACATGCTTCCCTGTAAAGGTTATATGTCCGACACAATACTCTAATCCAACGATTTCTCTTGACTAAGCACTCCCCGGAGAAAACAAATAAGACTCTTCACTGAAGGTCATGCCAGGTTTTTCCAGAGCTTCAAAGAAAAGGCTTTTGTCCTTGTCACACTACTGGCATCTGCCATCAAAGAAACAAGAGCGTTAAGTATTTGTTTTCTCGATGTTAGTTTTGAATGCGGACAATTTTCGACAATCATGTCCCATTCTGTAAAATGGGCTAAAATGCCGGATGTAATTGCTTCTGACCGAACGGAATTAAATTTCACAAAGCCTGTGAAGCACTCACATACTTCGTATACTTCAAAACAATGCTGAGTTGTATTTTGCCAGAATTATCAGACGACTCATCGGTTATTACGGACACAAACGAATCGTCGGTCTCAATAACGATCTCTCTTGCTTGCTAGTTCGAGAATTTCATTTTGTTCCATCAGGTATCTCGTTCCCTGCCATTCAAAGAAAATACTATTTTATGATTTCGTCCCATACCTCAGTCAATACGGAATTGAAGGAGCATCAACTAATTATCATTTTCTTAGGAATGGCCGCGAAAAGGAATGTGTTACTTGGGGCACAATATATTAAAGATTTCAGAATGGAAGTCATTATTTCTGTTTTCTCCCATTTCGGGTTGCCTGTCATTCGAAGAAAATGTTTTTTTAGGATTATATCTTCTGCGTCAATACGTAATTGGAGGAGCATCACAAAATTACCTTTTCCATCGGAATGGCCGCAAAACAGGATGTCGTCACGCTAATAACCGAATTGCGTAAGTCATTTTTTGGCGATTTTGAGTTTTTTATAAAATAGGTAACTAACCATCTTATATTATGTGTGTGAGACGACCACGTCTATAACCCTATTTTATTCTGTTTGTCCATATTAATTCTTACCACTTGAGTCACTAGTGAGCAACTGTGTAACATTCTCTTTCTGCTGGTTTGTCAGACTGCCGGCAGTGTAGATATTTCCTCTGTGTATTAGGTTATTATTATAGTGTTTTAATGCCGTAAATCTATGTAATTCTTGTTGTAAAATGATATTAGTAGTACAGGTTTACTGTTTCTCTAGTTTGGCATAGCTCTGTTCACTAGTTAGCTTGTATTTAACGTTTCCGTAACTAGTCTATTTTCGCAGTTTATTTCCTGTGTGATTTCCATATTTCTATGCGTATTTCCATGTATATTACGTGTTTGTCGATAAGATAGGATTTGTGTTGTATCTTTAGTGTCATACTAGTTATTCTTATGTATTTCTAGGCATGTTTTACCCGGTTTTTAGTATCCCATTATAAGTAAATAGTTCATGACTGTGACGTCATAGACCAATTCCGTATCTTGTGTTACGTATGTATCCTACGGTATTTGTACTGTGTATTTCATGTTTTTATTTGTTTATTGTATTTCTTATTGGAGTATTTGGTTGTATTAAGTTCTTACAGGTGTATAATTAATCTAGTTAGTTAACTTAGTTACTCTGCTGTATTTGGAACCGCAAGAAGATTATTTTGTGATCGACATCTATAGCAATTACAACGTCCACGAAGCTGCCAGAAAGAACCTGAGTGGTGATATCAATTTTGGTACGCCACATGTGTATATTGCAGGTACCATCATCCTTTATAATAAATACTGTATTCTAGGAAAGTGAATTATCATTTATGATGGAACCTTTTGTGGATTAAATATTTCATCATCTTACAACATTTTATTTATTGAAAATCAACGATGCCGAGAGTAGAGTGCCCAGTTGATGGGTGTGAATGGATGTCACAGGACTTGGATGCAGCTTTAGCGGATGCCCTAACCGCCGCTCTCCAACTACATGGCAGGACAGCCCACAGCCCACCAATGGCAGCAACACCTACTCCGAAGCTCAAGTTGGATCCACCCATACTATCTACAGGGTGTGACCCAGAACAATGGTCTGCATTCAAAAGACAATGGGATATGTACAAGATTGGGATGTGTATCACAGATAACATGATCCCTACAGCGTTGTTTCATTGCTGCGACCAGGAACTGAGGTCGGACATCATGAGAGACATACAAGAGAATGTGGCTCGAATGACGGAAGACAATCTGCTATCTGCAATTAAGCGCCTCGCTGTGAAAGACGAAAGCACACTTGTTCACAGGATAAAATTGAGCAAGATGATTCAATCACCTGGAACTAGCATTCGCATCTTTCTGGCCAATCTTCGAGGGCAAGCTGCTTTATGCAATTATATAGCAAAATGCAGACAACCTGGTTGTGATCATACTTTCGACTATAGCAATGAGATTATCAAGGACAACTTGGTGAGAGGAATCGCCGACCATGAGATCTTAGCAGACTTGTTGGGAGACTCCAAGACTGACAGGACGCTTGATGAAACTGTCTCGTTCATAGCTCAAAAAGAACAGGGGAAAATTACCAAGTTCGCTGTTGGTGAATCAGCTGGTAACATGTCTAGCGGTGCCAACCCGTCACCGACAAGCAAAAGAAAGTGGTCAAAATGTTGGGCATGTGGGAATGCAGCTCATGGACCACGTAATGACATAAGTACCAGATCCAAGAAATGCCAGGCTTGGTCATCAGTATGTGCT